TGCTAATGGCATTTCTAGGCAACATGAGGATAAAATGCCAGTGATTGGTTTAGACCAGTGTGCACACTGTTGCTACCACAGCCTAGTGTTAGTGTTTTCAAGGAAAGCAATGTGTGGATGCAGGGCTTGCAGGCACCCATAGCTAGAAGGCTAGTATGGGAGCACAGCACCTCTGCACTATCCAGCAGTTCAACTAGTAATGAATAGGTCACTTCTCTGCTGTACATGCAACCATTGTGTCTGTGGGTACCTTGTCTATGCCTGATACAGTGGTGTAGAAAAGATTCAACTATTGAAGAAACAGAACCGGAGAGATCAGGATATTCCTCTTTTACGGAATCCAGAATGATTTATTTTTACTTTTGAAATCACCAAGATTAATCCCTTTTTTCTTCCCAGGTCATTTGGTTTTTTGGAACAGTGGAAAATAGGAAGCAACTTTTATACCTTGAACAGGGTTATTATTAATGTTCTTCTCCAGTGGAGCAGCATTCTGCTGACTGAGTGAATTCCATTCCGTGAATCACTAGTGGCCGCTGAGGTACATCTACACAGCAGTGTTATTTTTGAATAACTGATGTTATTCTGAAATAACACAGAGCGTATCTACACTGCAAACCATTATTTCAAAATAATGTTGAGCTGGAGGACTTCTTACTCCGACTCCTGTAAGCCTCAATTTAAGAGGAGTAAGGGAAGTGGAAGGAGGAGTGTTCTTCCTTTGACTTCCTGCTCTGTAGAGTGGAGGGAAGTGGAAGGAGGAGTGTTATTCCTTTGACTTCCTGCTCTGTAGACAGTGCCAAAAGCTGAATTAAGCTATGGAGCTCAAATTGCATAGCTTAATTCGACTTTTGCCCTGCCGTATAGATGTACCGTGACAGTGGAGTGAGTTGCACAAGATAGTTCTTAAGAATTGGCTTGGCTTCTTTGGAACAATTTTCTTTCTTTTTTTTTAATTCTTTACCTTTTTTTTTTTTTTTTTTTTTAGAAATCTCAGCAAGAAACTCCAGAAGTGCTCTCTGATGCCCTGTATGAGAATATCTAAGGGGAAAGACTGATCGCGCTTGGACTACACATCTCAGAGTATGAGGGAACTTGCCCTCTCACTTCTTCTTTAGTGTCCATCTGAGTTCTCCAGAGACTCGCAGCACACTGAGGGCAGAGCCCTGACTAACTCCCCCACTCCCACTCTCTTTCTAATCTGTCCCTTATTGACCTCAGAATTCTTCGGTTCTGATCTCAGAGTGGCACTGGCTCCATGGGTGCTCCTTCAGACAATATTGCTTTCAGTTATTTATAGGTCTGACTTTTAGAGATAGTGTAGTCAGGTTCTGTGCAAGTTTCCCTCCTCCAGCTATTCTGATGCAGTTGAGTCCTGATTGATAGCCACTGTTGTACAACACAGGGACGCCACTATTTCAACAGCGCATCTCACTCCTGACCTATATAGCCCATATTATCCCACCCTCAGCTCTTCCCCATCATGCCAATATGAACTTAATATGTGTCTATTGAGGACCTGGTTGGGAGCCAAGGAACCCCCTCCCTGTGTTCCCTTTCTCAACAACTTCAGGTTAAAACATGCTGAGGCATGAAGCAAAGTGACTTTGGTAACCCTATGCTGTCACTGCCAGATGTACAGTCCAGCCCTGTGCTGCTCCAAAACAGTCTGTTGGATGCAGATGTGCAGGGTGAGTATTTTCCTTTGAATGGAACCAACAGCATGTGATAGGGAGGGACCGCATGAAAAAAGATGAAAGCAGAAAATGAAGCAGGAGTCTTGCTGGCTTGTGGACATGTCTCACTGGTGATGTACCTTTCAAGATAAAGTATTGGGAGACAGGGCTTGCAAGAGCAGCTGCCCTGCTGGAGTCTGTCCTGTATAGAACCCTGACCTGAGGTTATGTCCCTTCCAAGAAGGGTGTTCAGAGGACGCATTAACAGCCTTCTTTTTAATAGGTATTGTTACATGGTGTGATTGGGTTTTTAAGCCGTGGCATGGGTAGATATCATATCTTAGGGAGAAATTCTCACCCAATTCAAGTCAGTACTTGCGGAGTTTTGCCATTTACTTCAGTAGGGCCAGGTGTTTAGGGTAGTAATAAAAAAAATTACTTAGGCAACTAGACCAGTTTATCAAATTAATTATATATGGACTGGAGACCCTGCACATGAATTTTCCATCCAAGCTCTTATCTTTCCCATCATATGGATCTAGCCAAAACACTAAACTTACATGCATTGTAGTTCTGATGGCATTATATTGTGCAACTTGATCTAAACAATGGATCAAAGATTCAAAGATGTTGTACCTCAGATTTTTTTAAAAACAAAACAATAATCAGTAGAATAAACTGAGAGGAATCATACAAACCTTTTTAAAGAAGAAAATCAAATTAAAACTGATCTGCATGTCATAGGACCCCCTCTAGTTGTAGATAACGTTGCTATATATCAAAGATAGAAAGCCATGGAAAATATTTTCAGGGCCTCCAGCCTTCCTATACTATCTTTTGAGAAACAATCCTCATATTGCTTTGCTCATTTATTAGAAGAGATTTCAAATGTGGAATCTGTACATTCTTTATTGATAAATATTTTTCTTTTACCAATGTCTAGAAATTCATTGAGGCAAGGATCCATTTAAATTGTTTTTCCATGTATAAATATGCCTGTGGTCATATTGTGAAAGAATTTTAAAATAAGTATTTGAGAGTCACCAAGTTTTAATGTTTCCCTTGACACAGGAAACATGAATTAGAAACAGAAAGGTATAGACTTGAAGAATTTGCAAAATTGATGCAATTATAGTAAAAAAAGGTCCTTGCCAAATTTTAAGATAAATTATATAAATTGAGTGCAATGTGGCAAGAAAATCTTTAGGATGAGCTGATAAATTAGACAAGGAGTTAAAACTTACCAAAATAAAAGGATTTGTAATTTTGTTTGAAATATGGCATTTTATAATCACTAAATAATTCATGTATCACTGGGAATTTCTTGCAAAGATTCTGTAATCCACTGCTGATAACTTCTCTCTGTTCAGTCTCTTGTTCATCATTTTCTTTTATGCTTTTTCTTCTCTAACTATATTTAGCTCTGACCAACTCTCTATATTATATACTTGGGGTTATAAAAAATTATAAAAATTTAATTGAAAGAAGGGGCTGTAAAATAGCACAATTCTCTCATTCAGTACTGTGGTCAGAAGATGGTAGACCAAGGGTTGGCAGCACAGTGGGGGTATGTCTACACTACAGCACTAATTCGAACTAACTTAATTTGAATTAGTTAATTCGAACTAAGCTAATTCAAACTAGTGCATCTAGACCTAAAAACTAGTTTGAATTAGCATTTTGCTAATTCGACCTAGCATGTCCACATTGAGTGGACCCTGAACCGAAGTTAAGGCTGGCTGGAACAGGTGCCGGCAGGGCATCAGGTTAGGACTTAGAGCGTGGAGCTGCTGTCTCAGGCTAGCTGAGGGCTGTGCTTAAAGGGACCCGACCCCCACCCCGGACAGACAGTTCTCAGGGTTCCCCACTTGCTTGTTTACCTCGATGAGGGACAGCAAAGCAGTCCTGGCTTGGAGTGCCCTGAATGCCCACACTCGGCACATCACAGCACTCGGCCATCAACCCGGCTGCATTTGCCGCAGGCTGCCATCTGGGGGGGGTGTCAATTGGGAGGCTGCAGGAGAGTTTTGAGCCCGCAGAACCACCCCAGTCCTCCCCATCGGGGGCTCGTACCCCATTCCTCCCTCACCTCCTTCCACTTACCCCTCCCTAGCCCCCCTTCGTGATGTACAAAATAAAGGACACGTGTGTTCAAAAATAGAAACTCTCTTTATTGAACAAAACTCGGGGAGACTGGGAAAAGGAGGTTGGAGAGGGGAAGACAGAGTGGGAGAGGGGAGGGCAACTAAAATGATCAGGGGTTTGGAACAGGTCCCATATGAAGAGAGGCTAAAGAGACTGGGACTTCTCAGCTTAGAAAAGAGGAGACTGAGGGTGGATATGATAGAGGTCTATAAAAGCATGAGTGGTGTGGAGAGGGTGCATAAAGAAAAGTTCTGCATTAGTTCCCATAACAGAAGGACTAGAGGACACCAAATGAAATGAATGGGTAGCAGGCTTCAAACTAATAACAGAAAGTTCTTCTTAACAAAGCAAATAGTCAACCTGTGGAACTCCTTGCTGCAGGAGGCTGTGAAGGCTAGAACTAGAACAGAGTTTAAAGAGAAGT